CTATATATCTATATATATATATATATATATATATATATATATATATATATATATATATATATATATATATATATATATACTCTTTTTTTTATGTTTGTTGTTTTAGTTATTGTATTTTTTAGTTGTCTGTCTTTTTCGACTACTTACTGCTCTCCGATGTGGGAGGCAGGATGTGATTGCAAAAAAACCAACAGCACAAAAACAATTGAAAGACTGAGAGAAGAAATGGAATTCCAGGGCGTGCAAAGCCCAGCCGCCATGAGAGGGGATTGGCGATATTAAACAAACAAACAAAAACAAAAGAGTGGACGCCATCGTGGTATGGTATTCCTCAGATTGGGGCCGCTATCAGTCTGTGCCGCAGTTCTGTAAGCAGACTGTATTTAATATTGTGCTAGGAAAGAGCGAGGGATCCCACTGGTCCAGCAGAGGAGAGATAAAGATGGGAGTGGGAGAAGGATTACGGATGAACAAGGCTGTGTAGGAGAACTCCCGAGTCCCTTTGGGCTCTGCTGTTTTGCGGAGATCAGAACTGGTACCATTTTTTATCCTTACACTTTAGCATCATCTGCAACAGGGAGTAAAAAGAAGATCAAAGTTAGAGACGCCAGCTGCACTGCCACAATGATTACAATGCACATAAAATGAACTTATGTAATATAAATCTTTAGCTATTTTTACGAAGTGATTCATCTGTTATTGGCGTCAGCAGTGGTAACGCTGTACCTCATGAGCGTGTTTGGAGAATGTGTCAGCGCTGGCCATCATGGCTGCCGTCCGCTCTTCCACCTCGCTCAGTTTTTGCCCTCTCTCATCCAACGCTATCCGAGCTCGAGCGAGATCACCCACGATGCCTGACGCTGCCCCCTTCATGCCTTCTATACCCCCAGGACCTGGAATGTGCTGAGCGAGACTGCGTGGTGCTTTTCCGGCTCCTGACTCGCCGACTGAGTGTGAAAAGAAGAGGAGGAAAGAATGCTGCAAATGAGGTGACAGCACAACAGAGCACAAATGAGCTCTCTGTTACGACAACATAGTGAAGATGCCATTTTTGAGAACAGAACTTATTAAGATGGCAAAGAGGCACAGGAAGCACCTAGGTTAGATGTCACAGTTGTCACCAGTGTTATTTTTGCATTATATATATATATATATTACATTATACATTATATATGCTGTCAAACGATTAGTCCAGAATAAAAGTTTTTGTTTACGTAACATATCTGAGTGTACTCTTTATATTTATTATGTATACAGTATATAATTGCATTAATTATGCCTTGTAATGCACCTTATAATGCACTGTACAATCTCAATTCATTGTTACACTATGCATTTTAAATCCACTTATAATTATTTACAAGATATAATGTATTACAACGCACATTATGAATAATTATAATATACTACATACCCTTTAATAACCCTTCGTAATGCATTATACTTAAAGCGTTAAAGTAAGCGTTAAAGTAAGCTTTTAAGCGCTAAGTTTCAATTTAGCATGATTATTTTAAGTTTTAGTCATTTTAGTCATTTCAGTAACTTCACCTTATTTCAGATAGTTGCCCAGGCAACATTTCTAATTTTCTGTTTAGGTTTTTTAAGTTCAAGATTTTCATCTATTTATATTTTAATTAACAAAACCCATTTTTATATTTTAGCTGAAAATAACAACATTGGTAATACATTTTTGTCAAAATCTCTATGTAGTTTCATAAACAATTTTGTATGTTGGATTCAAATGCCTTATTCAAAACCATGTTATATCTGAATAATCTGTGAATTATTTAATATAATTATATTTTTGTAATAGTTGTTGGGTAAACAACTGAAACACCATGCACAATAAAATACACTAGCATACAAGCCAGTTATTTTTATTTTTTTTTTCATGAATCTCAGGTTGCCAGTGTGTTTTAGATGCTGTAGTTTTGTATAATGTATTAATGATAACAATTTAACAATGATAATAGCAACAATTTGGGCTTTTCAATGGCAACATCTATTGTGACTGGGAAATGAACCTACCCTGAAAAATATATTTACTGAAGTAAAAAGTGTGACAACTAGCTCCAGACTCCCCACATCTAAACAGTCATCTTTCTGTTTGTGGTCTACATTCCTACTGTACCATTCTTGCTGTGAGACTTTAGCCATCTAGGGGTAAAGAGCAGATCATGAAAAAGAACTCACAGAGCTCTTCTCTGTCTAGAGACTGTGCTCCTCCTCCGAACAGACCCTTAAAGAATCCCCTGTTAGGAGCTTCAGGCGTCTCCACCGGAGTAAACAGCTCACCAAGCATCTCCTGTTACACAATTAAATCATCATCATCATCATCATCTTCAACATTGTCGTAAATACTGTGCAACAGAAGAGTCTAGAAGAACAGTTCTGCTCACCTGTAAGTTCTCGCAGACCTCCTGGCTGTAGGTGATCCTCTGGATCTCAGTAGGGGAAGTCAGGTACAAGGCCTGGCCGAGGTTGGTGAAGCAGAACGTTCTCGCTATCCGCATATCTGTCAGGGGTAGGTAATTTACATCCAGCAGTGGTCTCAACCCTGGCAGACTGAAACAGCATGACACAGTGAGACATTTCTTCAGCTCTGGGATTTCTCACCTCTTCTATTATTCAAGAGCTGCAATGCGGAGACTGTGGCAGTGCTGATTTTGTCTTTCAAAATGTGCCTTTACATTACAGAAAACAAACATTAAGGATATTTGTAGATGATATCTGCAGTAATACCCCCAAGGTCTTCATGTTTGATGGTTAACTATGACCTTCCTACTGACAAACACACAGATGTTTGTCTGCCTTTCTGTCCTCTGAAGATTTATAAGCCAAAGCGATTCGGAGAGCAATACAGTGATTAGATCTGTGTTGCAATAGCAAGAGGCCCCCTGGCTCTGTCTTTGCTGAACAGTGGAGCAAGATGACAATATTGTATACTAAAAATAGCCTTATTTCCAAATGTACTGTGTGTTACAATATATCAATATCAGGCTACAAACAATTCCTCACATCACTGAAACAATCACCAGGCAGTCTGCAGATAAACAAAGCTTTAAAGGCTGACTGAGCTGGAGTCTTGAAAAGTTTAGCATCAATATACTGTATAGGTTATTTATTTAATATAAATTCTTTACACATGTTAAAAATGACATTAGATTCGCCAGTCATTTTTTTAAAAGATATTAAGGGTGGAGTTAAAATTGTACTGTCAGGCAGTGTTGCCAAATCCGCGTTTGCCGCTATTATTTTTTTATGTCAGCAGGTTGAAGCGACCCCAATAACGTGATATTTAGGCCCTGGAATGTGAATTGTACCAGGAGAACCCAACCAAAAAAATTTGTATTTTACCCCCGAACGCGATTTTTACTGGGGGACCCCCTTGCTATTTTCAGGCTAGTTTTGAGTAGTAATTGGGCGGGTTTTGAAGCGAAAACCTGGCAACCCTGCTGTCAGGTTTTACTAAAGATGTGCAGTGACGAATTAGAGCTGAAAAGGCGTGGACACGCCTGACCTTATTGAATATGCATTTTAGGAGTTTCCCTTTCAGAGGCAAAAGTTATGGGAGGAGAGTATTCAAACGAATCATGCAACGCGCTTTACTAACGTTTGCGCTCGTCAAATTACTGGCATTTGCGCCATTATTTAATGCCCAAAAAAAGCATGTGTTATACTATTTTGCGCTTGAAATGGCTGCAATTATTGTTGCTAGGAGGAGGCACTGCAGAAAACAGAGAGCGCATGGTAGAAGGGAGAGGATTTTTTCCACACATATAATTTATTTTGAATGCCAGAAGAACACATTATCAGAACATATCGTTTGCCAAGTCATGATATTTTTAATTTGCTTCAGGAAATAAAAGATGACTTGGAACCCTCAACTAAGAGTCGCGCAATACCAGGTCTATCAAAACTTATAGCAAACCTTCATTTTTGGCCTCTGGTTCCTTTCAACGTACTGTGGCTTCTTTATTTCTTTATTCTTTATTTTCGACTACGTTAATTTGTGCTGCACTTGGTATATCGGTTGGTTGATATGTAAATGAGATGTTGCGTATGTGTTTTTTAATTTGCGCATTGTTAGTAAATCACTTGCAGAAATGTCCCCTCCCATCAGCGCTGTTTTGGAATTGTGCTCTAGGGATGGGCGATGCCACTTATTTTGTTTTCGATATGATACCGATATTTTTCAAGGCAGTATCGTCGATATCGATACCGATTCGATACTTCTGAACTGAACTTTTAAATTATGAAATGTATTAAATTATTAAATTACTAAGAGTAAAATGGGTAATGATAAGCACTTAACTTTATGTTTAAAACACATTTTAACATTCAATACGCCTTAATTGTAACTTATTAGGTTATATTTTTGTTTACACATGGTTCAAATATGTTTTTTGTTTACACATGATTCAAATCTACAAATACTACAGTTGAACTACGGTCACTTTAGTAAAACCATGGTTCATGTTCATAAGGGACTGCCAGTGACAGGCTGTTGCATGCATAAAATGCAACCTTTTTATTCTGACAGTGTATGATTTCTATTAACATTACAGAATAGAACATGATCAGTATTATCTTTCAACGTTCAATTTAAATAACTGTAATTGCACAAACTATGTAGGCTACAATTTCAGTTTGTTTATTGTGAAATAACTCTGTCCTTCTGTCCTCTGATAAGCATTGTTCAGGGCTACCGTTCCCAAAAGCTTTAATGCTTTCTTATGATACTTTTGGGAAAAGCAGCCCTGTTTGAATGCACTGTCAGAAGTGAACGAACGCTCTCTGTGATTGATTAGTTCTGTCTTGCAACATTTGCGTGTTCAGATGAGCAGGAAAATAGTTCTATCCTACACAATTACTCACTAACAAAGGTTATTCGTCCAATTCAATGCATATTGTATGCATTTTTTTTTTAATTAACAAAATCACTGGTAAATAAAACACACCTTAGTATCGATATTTTTTGTTTGAGTATCGATACTTTCGATACTCGTGTCAGTATTGATATATTGATACTTTGGATCGATACGCCCATCCCTCGTGCCCTGTTTAGTAAAACTGGCCCTAGGTTTTGTTCAGCACGGATGCATTATTCAAAAAAGGTAGTAAAAACATTTTTATTCATACATAAGATTTCTAATGCTAGTTTCCACAAAAATATTCAACTGTTTTCAACACTGATAATTATAAGAAATATCTTGAGCTCCAAATCAGCATTTCAGAATGACTTCTGAAGGATCATGTGACACTGAAGGCTGGAGTAATGGCTCCTGAAAATTCAGCTTTGCCATCACTAGACTCAATTACATTATAAAATATATTAGAATAGAAAAGTTATTTTACATTGTAATGATATTTTAAAACTTTACTGATTTTACTGTAACTAAAAAAAATGCAGCCTGGTTGAGCATTAAGTGACATCTTTCTAAAACATAAAAAGAAATACCAGCCCCAAACTGTTGAAAGGCAGTGTATGTAGGATATTTTTTACTATAAAGTGAAAAAGTTTCACATGCTTAATCATGTTGCTTGCTAAAGTTTTATCTAAGTGTTAAAAGTGTCATAGATTTTTATGTATTTACACATCCCAACACACAGTCCCAAATGAAAGCACTTAAATCAACCCTCATCTGGCTTATGTTAAGGGCATCTTCTCTCACCTGAGGGTCATGATGTGTCCATTGGCACAGAAGCAAGCCACACAAATGCCAGTGTTCATCTGAACCACATCTGCCCGCAGCACAAAAGATGTTTCGGTGATGTTGTGTTTAAATACGCAGGTCTGAGAGGGCAGGGCTATGACTTTGGCCTGTTTCTCAGAGCACAGCACAGCATATTGGTTTTCATTCAGTTCCTGGGATGTGGATGGGGAGACAGACGCCGGCCGTCTCTTACGGACCTTGTCCCACTCCTCTCCGTTGGCCGGGGCATTGGGTTCGTACCATGGCTCAAAAGCAGAAGGGAGGAGAGACCCTGTAGAATCTAGGAAAGCCATCCGGAGAATACTGCCCTTCAACCTGACTAGAGTACCTGTACAGAGAGGGTTGAGATGTCAGAGTCAAACAAACCAACCTTCAAATTAAGGGAATAGTTGATCCAAAAATGAAAATTTGCTGAAAATTTCATCAAAAATGTAGATGACTTTGTTTCTTCATCAGAACAGATTTAGAGAAATTTAGCATTACATCACTTTCTCACCAATGAATCCTCTGCAGTGAATGGGTGCCGTCAGAATGAGAGTTCAAACAGATGATAAAACCATCACAATAATCCACAAGTCCATAATTAAAGTGCTTTCACTTTAAACCTTTGCTTCTGGCCAAAATATGAGTCCATAAACCATAACGCTTCCTCCAGAGAAAAGGTCATCTCACCTGAATCAGGAGAGAAATATCCACAGATCAAGAAGTGAAAACAGTTGTACACAAATAAGTCAATTGATTTTGATGTGAGAAGACAACAGAGGATGGACTTTTTTTTACATTATTTTAGAATTATGGACTTGAATTTTGGCCAGAAATTACGGTTAATTTATTACAAATACACAGCTTTTTGCTTTACAAGACGTTAATTGATGGACTTGAGTTGTGTGATTACTGATTATTGTGAGGTTTTTATCAGCTGTTTGGAATCTCATTCTGATGGCACCCATTCACTGCAGAGCATCCATTGGTGAGCAAGTAATGTAATGCTAAATTTCTCCAAACCTGTTTCGATGAAGGAACAAACTCATCTACACATTTTGAAGAGTACATTTTCAGTAATTTTTCATTTATGGGTGAACTATTCCTTTAAACCTCTAATGTGCTAACTTACCACAAGGGGAGACAATGACTGGTTGCAAAAGCCTCTGCTCTCCAGCAGGGGGCATGTTGAGGGAGACTGCCAAGACTGTGCCCAAGGATGTGCCAACCCACAGACTAGGTGTAAGTCCGCCATCTGCTTTACGGTTGTACGTCTCACAGAAATAGAAAGATGTGACGGCCTCTCGTGCTTCCTTGTCAATACTGGTCACACTGGAGCTCCGTGAGCGGCTGAAGGAGTTGTCCCTGTTGTCTAGGGGTATGGAACCCCGCGGGGGACATACAGAGAGTAGGACAGTAGAGAGAAAAACACAAAAAGGTAAAGCCCCCACTCTGAGATGACAACCAACAGATTGACAGATTACTTTTTCCATATCAGCCTCTTCGTCTTGAGCAGAATTAAGATCTAAATAAATGTTCTGCCTTTGTGATTGTGGTTTATGCACAAGTTAAAATACACAATATCCTTCAGTGGTGAGAAAATGACCTTTGATGTGGGAAATGAGGCAGTCTCTCCAGTGTGATGGAGATAAATGGTATTCCCAAGATTGGGATGACCAGATGCCCTATTTTCCTGGAACACTTACATATTTTAGACCTTTTTACCCAACCTCATTTATTTGAAAATTGGCCCTACTAGACCATCTTCTAAAATAAATCTGCATCTGGACATGTTAAAGGGGTCTGAAAATCGGACTATTCTGGGAAAAAACCCTCATCCTATAGGTCATCCTATCCAAGATGCGTACAGTCTAGAAATAAAAAACAAATAAATAAAAATAATGGAAGAATGTGACAGTGAAAAAAAAATTTGTTTCCATTATTACGACATAATATCTTCCTCATTTAAAACCTACACTACCGTTCAAAATGTCCACATTTTCTAATGTTTTGGGTGAAAAAAGTGTCTTAAGCTCAACAAGGCTCCATTGATTTGATCAAAAATATTGCAAAATCAGTTCTATTGTGAAATACTGTTACAATTTAAAATATTTGTTTTCTATTTTAATTATTTTAAATTGAATTTATTTCTGTAAAGGCAAAGCTGAATTTTGAGCAGCTATTACGCCAGTCTTCAATGAGTTGCTGTCTAATTTTGAATTTGCCTGTTTTAACCCTCTGGGGACGACAAACGTGCCGGCGCGTTTCATTGCATTTCTTTTGAAAGCCCCTAAAGGAACTTACATTACTCCGTCAGTTTTGATCATACAGATAAGAGCAATACATCAATCGAATCTGTAAAGTGTCTACTTTTATTTGTATACACACATAATAACAACAAAACTTTGTGCTTTTGTAAAATAAAGAAAACATACAGGGTGCGTTGTCTGCCGCCTTTGTCTCTGTGATCTTCATTTAGAAACGCATCACTAAAATGAACTGAAACTCAGCGAATGCTCGACACAAAGACATGAGAGATATATCTATAGAAAGCTTGGCATGTCTACTTTTAAACGACGCAAGTCTTATCGAAAACAAATATTCTGTGATAAAGTAATTCATATGAAACCAACGTGATGTCCAGTCTTTTCCATATGGCTTCATTATCTCTAAATCAAGCCCATGCACTTCTTTCGCTTTTGATATTACAATCATCCACGTACATAGAATAAAACTTCCATAAAGAGGCACTTAAGGATAATTACATTTAAAAAGAGACATGGTCATTGTATAATTGTATCGTCTACACAAACCATTTTGTGCTTGGACCCCAATTATGGTTATATTTCTTAATATTATCAATGCTGAAGAAAGTTGTGCTGCTTAATATTTTTGTGAAAACTATCATTATAAATGTCATTTTTGATCAATTAAATGCATCCTTGATGAAAAAAAAATGTAAAAGAAAATAAATTAATGATCCCAAACATTTGAACAATTGTATACATTTAACGTTTCCTTATTCAAAACAATTAACTGATATCCTGTAGAAGTTTATATATGGCAATGATATGTGAGGGGAAAATGATCTTTACATCAAACTGCTCATCTGATTTCCATTTCAAATCAGTGCAATTCCAGAAAAGTACTCCTTGAGGGAACTCCCTTAAAAACACTCCTGCTGGAAAGTGATGACCGAACTGAATCTGATACTGAATTAAATACCAGCAAATGCTGAACTGGCAAATGCTGACTTGTGTTATTCAGGATAAGAGTTAGGAAGACTGACAGAGGACCATGACTACATGAAAGTGATGCAGTGGTTTTGGCCATGCTTACATGTACCATTTATGGAAACACTCACAAGCCTTTTGATAAACCAATACAGTCATGACCCATATGTATGTCAGACCCACAAATCAATACAAAAGAAAATCAGCTTCAGATGGACCTTTTCTGATAAACTGTATTTCATAACTCATGTTTCAATCTCAGAAAGCCACCATAGTCTTGGGCTAACTGACATGAGATGTTCAAAGCTAATGAGCATGTGGACCCTCCAGTTTCTGATTATGTGCTGATGGACTCCACATTCAAAAGCTGTGTAGCATGAACACAAAGTCAAGGCTTACCCTTTTTATTCTGACAGTGTATGATTTCTATTAACATTACAGAATAGAACATGATCAGTATTATCTTTCAACGTTCAATTTAAATAACTGTAATTGCACAAACTATGTAGGCTACAATTTCAGTTTGTTTATTGTGAAATAACTCTGTCCTTCTGTCCTCTGATAAGCATTGTTCAGGGCTACCGTTCCCAAAAGCTTTAATGCTTTCTTATGATACTTTTGGGAAAAGCAGCCCTGTTTGAATGCACTGTCAGAAGTGAACGAACGCTCTCTGTGATTGATTAGTTCTGTCTTGCAACATTTGCGTGTTCAGATGAGCAGGAAAATAGTTCTATCCTACACAATTACTCACTAACAAAGGTTATTCGTCCAATTCAATGCATATTGTATGCATTTTTTTTTTAATTAACAAAATCACTGGTAAATAAAACACACCTTAGTATCGATATTTTTTGTTTGAGTATCGATACTTTCGATACTCGTGTCAGTATTGATATATTGATACTTTGGATCGATACGCCCATCCCTCGTGCCCTGTTTAGTAAAACTGGCCCTAGGTTTTGTTCAGCACGGATGCATTATTCAAAAAAGGTAGTAAAAACATTTTTATTCATACATAAGATTTCTAATGCTAGTTTCCACAAAAATATTCAACTGTTTTCAACACTGATAATTATAAGAAATATCTTGAGCTCCAAATCAGCATTTCAGAATGACTTCTGAAGGATCATGTGACACTGAAGGCTGGAGTAATGGCTCCTGAAAATTCAGCTTTGCCATCACTAGACTCAATTACATTATAAAATATATTAGAATAGAAAAGTTATTTTACATTGTAATGATATTTTAAAACTTTACTGATTTTACTGTAACTAAAAAAAATGCAGCCTGGTTGAGCATTAAGTGACATCTTTCTAAAACATAAAAAGAAATACCAGCCCCAAACTGTTGAAAGGCAGTGTATGTAGGATATTTTTTACTATAAAGTGAAAAAGTTTCACATGCTTAATCATGTTGCTTGCTAAAGTTTTATCTAAGTGTTAAAAGTGTCATAGATTTTTATGTATTTACACATCCCAACACACAGTCCCAAATGAAAGCACTTAAATCAACCCTCATCTGGCTTATGTTAAGGGCATCTTCTCTCACCTGAGGGTCATGATGTGTCCATTGGCACAGAAGCAAGCCACACAAATGCCAGTGTTCATCTGAACCACATCTGCCCGCAGCACAAAAGATGTTTCGGTGATGTTGTGTTTAAATACGCAGGTCTGAGAGGGCAGGGCTATGACTTTGGCCTGTTTCTCAGAGCACAGCACAGCATATTGGTTTTCATTCAGTTCCTGGGATGTGGATGGGGAGACAGACGCCGGCCGTCTCTTACGGACCTTGTCCCACTCCTCTCCGTTGGCCGGGGCATTGGGTTCGTACCATGGCTCAAAAGCAGAAGGGAGGAGAGACCCTGTAGAATCTAGGAAAGCCATCCGGAGAATACTGCCCTTCAACCTGACTAGAGTACCTGTACAGAGAGGGTTGAGATGTCAGAGTCAAACAAACCAACCTTCAAATTAAGGGAATAGTTGATCCAAAAATGAAAATTTGCTGAAAATTTCATCAAAAATGTAGATGACTTTGTTTCTTCATCAGAACAGATTTAGAGAAATTTAGCATTACATCACTTTCTCACCAATGAATCCTCTGCAGTGAATGGGTGCCGTCAGAATGAGAGTTCAAACAGATGATAAAACCATCACAATAATCCACAAGTCCATAATTAAAGTGCTTTCACTTTAAACCTTTGCTTCTGGCCAAAATATGAGTCCATAAACCATAACGCTTCCTCCAGAGAAAAGGTCATCTCACCTGAATCAGGAGAGAAATATCCACAGATCAAGAAGTGAAAACAGTTGTACACAAATAAGTCAATTGATTTTGATGTGAGAAGACAACAGAGGATGGACTTTTTTTTACATTATTTTAGAATTATGGACTTGAATTTTGGCCAGAAATTACGGTTAATTTATTACAAATACACAGCTTTTTGCTTTACAAGACGTTAATTGATGGACTTGAGTTGTGTGATTACTGATTATTGTGAGGTTTTTATCAGCTGTTTGGAATCTCATTCTGATGGCACCCATTCACTGCAGAGCATCCATTGGTGAGCAAGTAATGTAATGCTAAATTTCTCCAAACCTGTTTCGATGAAGGAACAAACTCATCTACACATTTTGAAGAGTACATTTTCAGTAATTTTTCATTTATGGGTGAACTATTCCTTTAAACCTCTAATGTGCTAACTTACCACAAGGGGAGACAATGACTGGTTGCAAAAGCCTCTGCTCTCCAGCAGGGGGCATGTTGAGGGAGACTGCCAAGACTGTGCCCAAGGATGTGCCAACCCACAGACTAGGTGTAAGTCCGCCATCTGCTTTACGGTTGTACGTCTCACAGAAATAGAAAGATGTGACGGCCTCTCGTGCTTCCTTGTCAATACTGGTCACACTGGAGCTCCGTGAGCGGCTGAAGGAGTTGTCCCTGTTGTCTAGGGGTATGGAACCCCGCGGGGGACATACAGAGAGTAGGACAGTAGAGAGAAAAACACAAAAAGGTAAAGCCCCCACTCTGAGATGACAACCAACAGATTGACAGATTACTTTTTCCATATCAGCCTCTTCGTCTTGAGCAGAATTAAGATCTAAATAAATGTTCTGCCTTTGTGATTGTGGTTTATGCACAAGTTAAAATACACAATATCCTTCAGTGGTGAGAAAATGACCTTTGATGTGGGAAATGAGGCAGTCTCTCCAGTGTGATGGAGATAAATGGTATTCCCAAGATTGGGATGACCAGATGCCCTATTTTCCTGGAACACTTACATATTTTAGACCTTTTTACCCAACCTCATTTATTTGAAAATTGGCCCTACTAGACCATCTTCTAAAATAAATCTGCATCTGGACATGTTAAAGGGGTCTGAAAATCGGACTATTCTGGGAAAAAACCCTCATCCTATAGGTCATCCTATCCAAGATGCGTACAGTCTAGAAATAAAAAACAAATAAATAAAAATAATGGAAGAATGTGACAGTGAAAAAAAAATTTGTTTCCATTATTACGACATAATATCTTCCTCATTTAAAACCTACACTACCGTTCAAAATGTCCACATTTTCTAATGTTTTGGGTGAAAAAAGTGTCTTAAGCTCAACAAGGCTCCATTGATTTGATCAAAAATATTGCAAAATCAGTTCTATTGTGAAATACTGTTACAATTTAAAATATTTGTTTTCTATTTTAATTATTTTAAATTGAATTTATTTCTGTAAAGGCAAAGCTGAATTTTGAGCAGCTATTACGCCAGTCTTCAATGAGTTGCTGTCTAATTTTGAATTTGCCTGTTTTAACCCTCTGGGGACGACAAACGTGCCGGCGCGTTTCATTGCATTTCTTTTGAAAGCCCCTAAAGGAACTTACATTACTCCGTCAGTTTTGATCATACAGATAAGAGCAATACATCAATCGAATCTGTAAAGTGTCTACTTTTATTTGTATACACACATAATAACAACAAAACTTTGTGCTTTTGTAAAATAAAGAAAACATACAGGGTGCGTTGTCTGCCGCCTTTGTCTCTGTGATCTTCATTTAGAAACGCATCACTAAAATGAACTGAAACTCAGCGAATGCTCGACACAAAGACATGAGAGATATATCTATAGAAAGCTTGGCATGTCTACTTTTAAACGACGCAAGTCTTATCGAAAACAAATATTCTGTGATAAAGTAATTCATATGAAACCAACGTGATGTCCAGTCTTTTCCATATGGCTTCATTATCTCTAAATCAAGCCCATGCACTTCTTTCGCTTTTGATATTACAATCATCCACGTACATAGAATAAAACTTCCATAAAGAGGCACTTAAGGATAATTACATTTAAAAAGAGACATGGTCATTGTATAATTGTATCGTCTACACAAACCATTTTGTGCTTGGACCCCAATTATGGTTATATTTCTTAATATTATCAATGCTGAAGAAAGTTGTGCTGCTTAATATTTTTGTGAAAACTATCATTATAAATGTCATTTTTGATCAATTAAATGCATCCTTGATGAAAAAAAAATGTAAAAGAAAATAAATTAATGATCCCAAACATTTGAACAATTGTATACATTTAACGTTTCCTTATTCAAAACAATTAACTGATATCCTGTAGAAGTTTATATATGGCAATGATATGTGAGGGGAAAATGATCTTTACATCAAACTGCTCATCTGATTTCCATTTCAAATCAGTGCAATTCCAGAAAAGTACTCCTTGAGGGAACTCCCTTAAAAACACTCCTGCTGGAAAGTGATGACCGAACTGAATCTGATACTGAATTAAATACCAGCAAATGCTGAACTGGCAAATGCTGACTTGTGTTATTCAGGATAAGAGTTAGGAAGACTGACAGAGGACCATGACTACATGAAAGTGATGCAGTGGTTTTGGCCATGCTTACATGTACCATTTATGGAAACACTCACAAGCCTTTTGATAAACCAATACAGTCATGACCCATATGTATGTCAGACCCACAAATCAATACAAAAGAAAATCAGCTTCAGATGGACCTTTTCTGATAAACTGTATTTCATAACTCATGTTTCAATCTCAGAAAGCCACCATAGTCTTGGGCTAACTGACATGAGATGTTCAAAGCTAATGAGCATGTGGACCCTCCAGTTTCTGATTATGTGCTGATGGACTCCACATTCAAAAGCTGTGTAGCATGAACACAAAGTCAAGGCTTACCCAAGTCTGGCTTTAGCTCAGTAGGCAAGCTTAATTTCCGTGACATCTTAGCTGGAAAAAAGAGAACACCTCTCTTTACAAACACATTGAAGCCTCAGTAAAAGCCATGCAATGCTTGAACTAGTTGTGCTGGAGAAAACACCAAGACAACATAGCTAAAGGTTTTTTTTAATCATCCTGAGGGACACAAATGCTTCAAACAGGACAAAGGAGACACTGCAATATTTTTCAGCGAGTCAAAGACAAACTGCATAATGCTGCATGCTGGACAAACAGTACTGGGATGTAAACGGGTGTAATTTGGCCACACAAAGCCCTGAAAGGAAAAGAATTAACATCAGAACAGAGAAAACAATCATTCTCAGCACCCCATGCCACAAGCATGCACCACACAGGAGAATACAAACTAGACATTATGGCTTATATGGATGAGTTTGAACATTTAGTATGATATATATACCCTTGCCACATAGGCATATGTTGACTTATCTATTATCTTTCATAAATTAATGATAAATAGCTGGCAGATGAACATGTGACCTTGTTTTGTCAGCAAAAATATCTAAACATTCTTAAAACAAGATAAATTTACTTGAGAAACAAAATTTAATAAGATCATTATGTTTTTATTTTAATACTATTTTCCAATGTACATTACAGTTTTAGATGTATTTTTACAATGTTTATGTTCATTGATTAACTGAATGTTAATTAAACTAAATGGTATATTTAATGATAGCACTATATAGATTTTTATTATTTTTGTTTTATATACTCTTAAAATAAGTCCAAATATTTTAGACAGTTTTGCTTCTCAAAAAAAGCATTTATTTCCTTTAAAGAGGTTAAGATATTTTAAGTAGACAAAATAATGATTTAAAGTTGTTTTTTTTGTTTTTTTTGCAGTGTAATGAGCTCAGCAGTCATAAAAAAATCATTAAGAAAGCAACAAAACAAAAACAGCCTTCACAGCTTGTCTATATAAGAACAACTAAAGAAAACTAAATGATCAATTACCCAAAACTATATGTTTTGTTTCCTAATAGTACTCCACAAAAGCATATATAAGTGAATTCAACTGCTGGTTGCAATCCATCTAAATAAATGTGCATTGTTCAAAATCCTGTGCGGAGATGTACGGACATAAAGAGACAGGAAGTACAGGAAGACAACAAACCGAAAACCTTCATTCCTACAGACAGACAATTATAGGACGCAGTCACGCAGCCACCGGTGTGGCGAAAGAGAAATGCCTCAAGCAAATCACCACAAGCACATTTCACCATGTTACATGCGTGCTACATAAACGTAGCATGCAGTGGGAATTTCCATCAGGGTTATTCAAGTAACTATTTCTGAGGACAGCTGCTTCCTCTGTTTTGTTCATACATAGAGACAGAGACAGTGTGGCCGAACAAAACCAGTGGAACCTCTTCTACATCGTCATCCAACCTTACCTCCTCTCCCTCCTCCATTGTAGAATTGCTGATGGTTTGACATCAAGACTTTTTGGGAGGAAGTAAAGCATATGAGCAGTTAAGAGATATTTTACGCTTTTTGGGAGCAACATACAGCGCAGGAGAGCCATAACGTGAAAGATTATGTATCGACCCAGGTTGTTTTGTTTGTTATGCGTTTGGTTTGGCTTTCTGTGGCAGTTGCAATCATTTGTTCTGTATCTGCCCATGTCGAGGTCTTACAGCTAGTGTAAGCTGCTATTTGCACAATAATTACAGAGACCTTCTTTCAATATTTGATCAAAACACTTGCTGAGAGAACAGCTGCAGAGGTCTGTGCTCTAACTGAAGGTTAAGTCATTTTGGAAATACATTCTCATTCTGCTCTGACCTTTCGGAGCAAATCTTATCTCTATTTTGAGATCTGCCCCGGTCTCCGAGTCTGAATGTCACGCTCTTTCTAGGAGTTTTTTAAGTTGTATTCGGCTTATCACGCCACCTTCAGCTGTGTTAAATGAACTAAAGAAAGAGAATGCAAATGCTTTAAGATTACCTTGTCTTATCTGTATTTTAACCTTGAATATTTCTGCATTTTATATTTGCATTCTATCCACAAAAACAATGCAAATTTGAATAATGATGGCTAAATAATGTTCTTTTTTCCCACCCCAGAGGAAGACGTGATATTATAGCAAAGGTTAAGAATCTTGGGGGGGGGGTTATCCCTTGGAAAGTGTTATTTGCATAACATGAATCTAAAAGATCTAAGTAAAACCTCTATGTGACACATCTTCGATTAAATATTTGGTTACACAATTCTGTGACAGTATCTGAAAGCAATCAATACCTCATTAACTACAGTCTAAAAGCACTCTCAACTAAGAGTGCTGTGTTTTACAGTGCATTTACAAGCTTTCGTTGTCTAGTAAATTTAGATTTAATGTGTCCTTTCCGCCCACAAAAACAGCTGTTTCTTGCTCAGTGTCTAAGCAGTTGCTACATTTTCGACTCTTTTGCACACATAATTTCAGAAACCACTTCCTAACAATTCATCTAGTGTGGTCTTTATGATTGCTGTGGATGTTTATTTTAGCAAACGCTTTGAAACAGAGACAGTTTTGCTGAAGGGCACAATGGTGCTGCTCCTCAGGTCATGAATCACCCCTTCAGGGGTTTGAACCTATGACTTGCTTCTAGCCCAGATGTTTAACCACTATTCTCTCATCAGGCGCCAGCAACTTGTCACAATGTCAGTCAGCATTACCATTCATCACACTGCCAGCCATCATCAGTCATCTGTGACCTTTGTGAACTTTTGTTCTCCTCCACTGACACATGCACAAAGTTTTAGGATGTTACGTAAGGTAAGGGCTTGTTTAATACTGAGAAAATAACAAAATAAATCCACACACGTGTATGCTTGATTTTTGGTGTACTATGGATTAATTAGTAATGAATCTTAAAGGAATCACTCAAAAATCATTATGTACTCACCCTCATGTTGTTTTTCAGATCAGTCTAGTGTGTAAACATATAATACAGGTTTTGTGAATGGGTTCAATTAGGTTAATGAAAACTCATGAAGGGATGTCAAGATTTTCAGTAAATAATTTCAATGTTGGTTTGAACCCCACACAAAACTACAGAAGACCTGACATACACTACTGTTCAAAAGGTTAAAGGGTCAATTTTAATATTTAAAAATATCATAAGCATGGCTGTATTTATTTGATAAAAAAAAATAAAACCGTAATTTTGTGAAATATTGTTAAAATTTTAAATAACCGTTTTCTATATTAATATATTTAAAAATGCAATTATTGAGATGGCAAAGCTGAATTTTCAGCAGCCATTACTTCAGTCTTCAATGTTACATGACCCTTTAAGAATAATTCTAATATGCCTATTTAATGCTAAAATAACATTTCTTATTATTGTCATCTGAAAACAGAAATCTTTTGTAACAATGTAACTGTCACTTTTGATAAATTTAATGCATCCTTGCTGAAAAAAAGTATTAATTCTCGCTGACCCCAAACTTTTGAACAACAGTGTACGGTTGCAGTTCTTTTCCAAGAAGAAATGTAGTCAATACAGGTTTGAAACAACATGACAATGAGTAAATAATGACAGAATTTTCATTTTTAGGTGAACTATCCCTTTAGTCCTGTGCAGAGGAAACGGTTGAAATGCTAAAATGCCCCCCTGTGGAGCTCATAACATCTGTGTTTCAGCAGACTCCAGTGTCGGGACTGATCGGTATGATGGTGGCAGGAGGCAGAATGGATTGTGTCATGCTCTGAGGGGTGTTTTACCTGAGGTGGGGGATTTGCAGCGATCCTCTGAGGTGGCTGAGCCCTCGTTAATGTCACAAAGCCCTGTAGAGAGAAAGAGAAACATGATTGTCACACTATGGAAAACGTGAAAAGTGTGCTAGTATCCGCTACCTTGTGTAAAAGTAGTCTAAGATGTATTTTAGACAGTACAATTGCCTATACTCTTTAGTGTGAGGTGCAGTGTGTAGCCTTTGCTCTGATCTCGGAGTTGAGAGGCAGATGGGCAGACAGGAGCTGAACCCAGCTGCTCTGATCAGCACTCACCCTGTGCACATATCCGACAGATCCCAGCCCCCCGCTAAATATCACTCATTACCCCCGACACAAACACGCACATACACACCAGATAATCTAACAAGCAATCCATTGCCAAGTCCCAGCAATCATCTCTTCCTTACTAGCATGTGTTTAGCTGCAATTGTGCTATCCACCAGCAGGGGTCACACTGCTGTATCCCCTCACTGCACAGCTGCATGTCCTGCCAATGGTGCTGTTAAAAGGCTCACTGTGTTCATATATACAGGTGCGTCTCAATAAATTGGAATGTCGTGGAAAAGTTCATTTATTTCAGTAATTCAACTCAAATTGTGAAACTCGTGTATTAAATAAATTCTATGCACACAGACTGAAGTAGTTTAAGTCTTTGGTTCTTTTAATTGTGATGATTTTGGCTCACATTTCACAAAAACCCACCAATTCACTATCTCAACAAACTAGAATACTTCATAAGACCAATAAAAAATTTTTTTAGTGAATTGTTGGCCTTCTGGAAAGTATGTTCATTTACTGTACAGGAACTCTATACTTGGTTGGGTCTCCTTTTGCATGAATTACTGCATCAATGCGGCGTGGCATGGAGACAATCAGCCTGTGGCACTGCTGAGGGGGTATGGAAGCCCAGGTTGCTTTGATAGTGGCCTTCAGGTCATCTGCATTGTTGGGTCTGGTGTCTCTCATCTTTCTCTTGACAATACCCCATAGATTCTCTATGGGGTTCAGGTCTGGTGAGTTTGCTGGCCAATCAAGCACAGTAACACCATGGCCATTTTGAATTTATTTAATACACAAGTTTCACAATTTGAGTTGAATTACTGAAATAAATTAACTTTCCCACGACATTCTAATTTATTGAGATGCACCTGTATGTGCTCTGTCTATTACAGATGAAAACCATGTTTGTGTGTATATCAGACCTCCAGAAGGCTGTCGGCTCTTGCGGGGAGATCGCAGTTGTCTCTGATACGGATCATTAGAGCTGTACAATTCCACAGTTCCCAGATTCAACAGAACAGTCTTCTGTAAGTAATCCACTACTGCCAGACCATTGCTATTGCCAAACACCACCCTATGTTACACACAAACATAAAAGACAGAAAGTGCTTTTGTCATCAAATTAGAAGAATTTTGGTTTATGCTGGTTTAGTGCTGGTATAGTGATTATTTAATCAAATTAATATAATTTACGCACACAATCATTTATCATTTATACACACATTCAAAAGTTTGATGCATTAAAAGGACGCATTAAAATGATCAAAAGTGACAGTAAAGACATTTTATTCTATCCACTTTATTCTATATTACTTTCTATTTTGAATTCTGTTCTTCAAAGTGAATCCTGGGGGGGGGGGATGGTTTATACTGATATGGTAATACTTTAATAAGAAGAATAAATTGTACGAGTGCCAAATCAGCATATTAGAATGATTTATGAAGAATCATGTGACACTGAAAATTGGAGTAACAGTGATGCTGAAAATTCAGCATTACAGCAAATTTTTTTTTAAAGGGTATTTTTAATTGTAATACTATTTCACATTATTATTGTTTAACTGTATTTTTGATCAAATAAATGCACCAATGGTAAGCATTAGTGACTTCCTTCAAAAGCGTTACAAAATACAGACCCCAAACTTTGAAGGATTGTGTATGCCAAGTTTTGAGGAACAAACCAACATAGTTGTCCTTATTCATTGAAAATCTTGATATATATTTAAATTTATGTTAATATTTTAAAATATTTTAATATAATAAAAGAACAAAGCAAATATTGTCTTTTCATAAACATTTCTGACAGTCTGCAGCATTTGCTGCGCCACCTGACGAAACAATGTAAAACAAGTCTTCAAATCTTCAGGTAACTCACAAGCCATAGCTGGAGTTGATGGCCAAGCTGCTGATCTGCTGGGGCGGCTCTCCACTGACCCACACCAGCTGTACCACCAGCTCCACCTGATACCCTGGAGACTGCTTCAGAGGACTGCTGCGCACCCTGAGGGAATGACAGAGAGAGGACATGGGTTATACACAGTCCCTGCCAAATTGTTTTTACAACATTTACTGTATAATGTCATAAATTACATACTGAGGATGGGCATGAGTACCCAAGCAATTGAAAGTGTCATGATTAATCACAAAAACTAACAAAATCTAGTAACAGCTATACAAAGATGTGCCAAAAAGGGGCCTCACAGTGCAACTTTGTTGTCTGATTTGTCAGACAACAATTTGCGTCAATACTGTGAACACTAACTTTCAGTCAGTGGCAACTACATCCCTCAACGCTCTCTTTGGAAACAGCCAGACACGGTGCAGCTGAATGGAACAGAACACAGAAGTCCTGAAAAGTGTTTGTAAAAGCTGAACTATTTTTAACTTGACACTTAAATGTGGTGCATATTATCTGTTGGGTTCTCACAAATCAAATAAACTGATCATGTGAACTCCTTTGTAAAGACGATGTTTGGATCATTTTCAAATCATGATGGATCACCTGGTCATCAGGTTTAACACAAATTAGTGGAGTTAATATGGGCTGAATGCTGCTGTCAAAGGAAATGGGCAACATAACAAATACTAAAAAAGAAGCCTTTTTTCAATTTTGTAATCAAAATGTTCCACCGATAATAACATTTGCATTTAAAAAAAAAAAGTAAAATAGAGGCATTAACACGAGTAGCCTTGGACTTTTGGATTCCCTGCTATGTGTATTAAAATACAGAATTACTTGAGGCACGGTATGTTGTCTCGGATCCCATCTGATGAGTTGCTGCTAGTGGAAGTGTGTGTCTGAGGGGTGGCGGTTTGTGGACTGGGAGAGGTGCTTGGTGTGGGAGGAGCTGGTGTCTGATCTCCTCCTCCTTCTGGAGACTCCAGATCATTCAGCTCATACTGTAACCTGACCTCCAATAACTGTAAAACACACACACACGTACACATGTAATTGACACTATTGTGCTTGAGAACAGATGGGTATGAATCAGCTAAACACACTGAGTTAATTGATCCCCATCGGTGTCGCTATTCTTAATATGAGACACGCTAATTGCTGTGCGTGTCTCTTCCAAGTGAGTGTGAGAGTCACGGGACTGAAGGTGCTAATAGGTTTAATTTGCCCTCATTATACAGAAGTGTGAACGTTCTGTCAGCAGACGATGGTAACACTAATGGTTTTCCCACATTTGCGCTGAGCATGCGCCTCTGTTAACCAATGAGATTCGTTCCTGTGCCTGAAATTCAGGTGTCCCCAATATGACTGTATTCAAACATTTTATTCATTATTATCCTGTTTATATGAGTCATGTATTAATATGTAAATAAGTTGCGTTGATTAAGCTTTAATAAAGCACTATTGCTTAATTGCTTCACTCTACCACATTATATCTTTTCCCATAATAAATCATATGGAAATTCAAATTATTCACAGATATATTTTCTAACAGCATTACCATAAGCGCTCATTTATTTATGGGTCACAGAAGCATCAGTATGCAAATGTACAGCTTGCAAAAAACAGGGAGAGGGCAAAATGAATTCAGTATTAATTATTCAAACTCAATATACAGCTAGATGTGGTGAACATTAATTAAAACGGCTTTGAAAGGCTTAGAGATTTAGTTAAGCATCTGAGTAACAACTGTTCCTCGGATATCCTTAGTTGGCTCTGTAGACGGCACATACACGTACAAATGCACAAACACATTCAAGTCACTGAACAACATCCATTTAATGAACAGATTTTATATTATTATTAATGTTATGAGTCATGGCAGTCAAGACTGGGAATAAGAGAGACTGAGCGTGTCTATAAGGGCAGCATTACTCATTACACTCCAGAAAACAAAGTCTTTTTTAAGTCAAGAGCACCTCAATTAAAAAAAAATCTTACATAATTCTTACAAAATTAAACATTAAAAAGTATAAACAACAAATTGTTACCTGCACAACCTCTGTGGTGATTTCTTGTTTGCTGAACCTGTATATGATGACATGGGCAGAGACACCAGCCACACAAAGCATGCGGCTCTCGGCACACCAAGACATCAACTGAATGGCGAATGGGTCCTCATCCACAATCTCTGTGCTGGGTTTCTCCTCCTTACAGCGTGCCTTTTCAAACACCTTAGCTGTCTTCAGCTTGTACAGCACCTGGAGCATTACTGAACACATGGTAAATGGAATTCAAAGGAAAAAGTAAGAGATAATTGTAGTCAACCAGTCATTAACACAAAATTAGATTTCCCCTTCAGGAACTCGAGCTGTGTCAAAACGCTATGGGAACGCCTTCAGTGGGACCACGCTCTGAATCACATGTTTAATCAGTCCAATGTATGGGCGAGATGTCATGGGCGGGGTGACATAATGACCAGGAAGCTTAAAAGCACATACGGTGGAACCGGTGTCAGCTTTCTGTCATTCAGCAAGTGCTCTGTGTGTGTGTCAGTCGCTATCTGTTTGTGAGTTTTATTTAGTGTTGTTTGTCCACTTGTAAGCTCCATTATGTAAAAGCTTCAGTCAAGAGAAGCTTTTGGGCGAGAGCAGGTAGCATTCAGGCTGTGTGTTCCTCCCTGCCCGCGCTATATTTGGGTAGGAACACACACAGTTTGTGTGATGTCTGCTTGGGAGCGAAGCACGCAGAGTCAGCTCTCGAGGGAGTCGACTGCCCACACTGCGAGTGTTTTGTTACTACCTTGCTTCACTCTCAGAAGGCTCTCTTTGAGGAGGGAGCCTTCACTAGCGTTTCCCGTGGTGCTGGTCCCGCTTTCGCCGAGGCGGAGCGGCGGCTGTGCTCATGGGTTTCGCATATGGATCTGGTGGAGGGAATGTAGACGGGCGAGTCCCTATCTTCTTCCTCAACCACCAGATCCGGCGGCCGCTCTCGGGGTTTCGGAAGCCTGCGCTGCAGTCCTTCCTCCCAGGGAGAGGGCGCAACACTCCGCTTGTCTTTCTCCGAGGAGATTGATACGGAGGGCGTCGATGAGCTCGCCAGTTGCACAAGCATATTATGCCTAATATTATAATGAGCAGCATTAATGGGGAGCAGAGCTCGCGCAGTCGGCTCTCGGGGGACTGATTGTGCTTTTCCCGCTGTTAAGCACTCCCCTCTCGTCGGGCACGCTCCAAGGAGTGTGTCCGTGCCTGTGATCTTACGATTCTAATCCTGCTGCTGCCGAGGCACGGCAGCGGCTGAGATCGCGGGGATCGCACATGATCTGGCGGACGGGTTGGAGATGGCTCTTCCTATCTCCACCCACGTTCCCTAGATCTAGAGCTTGTTCTCGAGGCTCGGAAGCCCGCGCTGCGGTTTCTTCCCCCTCTGAGTGAAAGCTCGCTGCTGCAGCTACCTTTCTCTGAGGAGATTGATATTTTTTGTGTGACTGAGCGTATTACATCATTTTCGTTTTTTGATGTGAATCTTATCACACCAGACCGTGTTTACTCATCTGGTTGTTTGACTGCATTTAATTCTGAGGAATAAAATGAAGTATTTATCTGACTATGAGTAATTAGATATTCGAGTGAGAGCACGTGTTTACCTCTCTTCCTCTGAGGAGGTTGAGGCAGTCAGCAGGGGCTGCTGGGCGGGAGCAGTCCCAACCTACCGTGTTCCAGCTCCTCATTCTGGGGGCGTCACTTCTCGTACTCCGCAAAGTCTAGAGTCAGAGGGGCGCTCCCAGGCCGAAGGCTTCTAGCAGAAGGCGGTTCTGCGGACCGTCATTCTCGCTGGATAGTCTTCGTCTAAAACGTCCTGACGCCTAAGGCCTAGGACTTCTGAGGGCCAGCTCCCTCTGGGGAAGAGTGGTATACACTGCATTACACGGTGTCCGTCTCTCTTCAGTGTGGAAACTACTGCCAAATGTGTCTCGGTGGGTCCTGCACACTGCAGAGAGAGGCTACAGAATCCAGCGTGGTTCTCTTCTGCCTCAGTTCAACGGGGTGATTCCCACTCTGGTGGGGCCCCGAGCAGGCTCTGGTAATGGAACAAGAAGTAAACACTCTCTTGAGGAAGGAGGCCATCAAGGTGGTTCCTCCTCTCAACAGAGAGTCCGGGTTCTACAGCCGGTACTTCATCGTTCCAGAAAAGGATGGAGGGTTGCGCTTCGAGAGGCCTCCTCTTGCTTTAGAGAGTCGTCATGTTGAGCCTTTTTTCAGTGAGTGTCGTCAGGCCTCCTCTTGCTACAGAGGGTTTCTAAGGCCTCCGCTCGCCAGAACTCCGCTAGGACAGTCTGAGCATAAGCTAGTGTGATCTCCATCCTTCCCCATCACAGGAAGTTCCTGAGGTGGCTTTTGGGGGCAAAAGCCTACCAATATCGGGTTCTTCCCTTCGGCCTTGCACTCTCACCCTACACTTTCACGAAGTGTGTGGATGCTGCGCTGGCTCCTCTTTGACTCAAGGGCATCCGCATACTAGCTCAATCTGAGCTTTGAGGCATTGAGATGTCATTCTCGCTCACGTGAAAGAGCTGGGGTTAAGACTTAACGCCAAGAAAAGTGTGCTTTCTCCATTACAGAGAACCACTTATCTGGGCATGGTGTGGAATGCAACCACGATGCAGGGACGTTTGTCCCCTGTTCGGATCGAGTCGATCCTCACTGCAGTCGCGAGAGTGAAAGAAGGCCTGTCACTCACTGTCAAGCAGTTCAAAAACTCCTGGGTCTGATGGCAGCTGCATCCAACGTGATATCTCTTGGCCTGCTGTACATGAGACCCCTACAGTGGTGGCTCAAGACCAAGGGGTTCTCCCCGAGGGGAAACCCGCTTCGCAAGCTCACGGTCAAGCAGCAATGCCTACGTGCCTTAGACATGTTGAGGAAACCTTGGTTCTTGGCTCAGGGCTTGGTGCTGGGAGCTCCTTGTCGCCGCATAATGCTAGCGACGGACGCATCCCTCACGGTCATGAGTGGCCACTCAGCCCACGGTCTGTGGAGCGGCCACCATCTCACGTGGCACTTCAACTGCCTGGAGATGCTGGCTGTGTTTCTAGCATTGAAACACTTTCTCCCAGACCTAAGAGGTCACCATGTGTTGGTGCGCACCGACGACACAGCGGCGATCTCTTATATCAACCACCAGGGAGGTCTGCGTTCGTGCCCTCTTTACAGGCAGGTGCACCAGATCCTTGTGTGGTCTCAGAGCAAACTCCTCTCACTGAGAGCAGTTCACATTCCTGGGCTTTTCATTATGGAAGCAGACATCCAGTTGAGGCAGGGGCCGAGGCCCGGGGTACAAAGAGTTTTTGGCCAGGCTCAGGTGGACCTATTCTTGACTCAAGAGACATTGCACTCTCCCCTCTGATACTCTCTGACTCATCCAGCTCCACGGGGGCTGGATGCCATGGTACAGACATGGCTGAGGCTTCGTCTGTACACCTTTCCCCCAATCACTCTGCTCCCGGGAGTTCTGGAGAGAGGGCGCCGGGACGGGGTCCATCTGCTGTAGCCCCGTTCTGGCCGGGCCAAGTATGGTTCTCGGACATGATTTCCTTTCTCGACGGCTCTCCATGTGAAATTCCCGTCAGGAGGGACCTCCTCTCACAGGCGGAGGGCACGATATTCCACCCCCGCCCGGAGCTGTGGAAGTTACTCGTAGCTTCCGGTCTCTCAACCGAGGTTGTTGAGACCATCCTCCAATCCAGAGCTCCCTCAACGAGGAAACGGTACGCCTTGAAGTGGAAACTTTTCACTTCTTGGTGCGGAGACCGCCAGCTCGACCCAGTTAACTGCCCAGTTGGTACAGTGTTGGAGTTCCTGCAGGCCCGTTTCTCCGCAAGGTAGACCCTGTAGGGATTTTCTTAATAGGAATAGACCCTGATCACCCAGCACATGAATCCCATATTCTTGGTTGATGTCAGCGAAGGAATTGCCTCAGCGTTCAGCTCTCAACTAAACAGAACGCAAGTAAACGAACAAACTCTTCAGATCTGCTGAACTGGTGTAGAGCTAAGTTAAACAGTAAAGATAAGACAGTCGCTGCTTGGTGTTCTCCTAGGCTGAATTTAAAACCACTCGCGAAACTTAATGCAACTCCGTTGACTCCTTTCCTTGAATCTTTGTGTGTATGTGTGTGTATGTTTTAGTTAGGTTTTTATGTAATCTAGATTAGCCAATAAAATTCATGTTTCATTTATAAACAAGAAGTTTCTTGGCTCATATAATTTTAAGGTTAAACCTATGCCAAAACGATCCTTGCTTGCTACTTAGCTCGTAGCTTACTTATAATAATTACCTCTGTTAAGAGATTACAAATAAGCTTAATTGTGTTGACCGTGGCCAGGAAGACACATATTAAATTTGTTAAAAGATACTAAGAATCACCGGCTCGCTGGACGACCTTGATTTGAAGTAAAACTAACAAATTTGGAATGGTTTAATCAGGTGGACTTGGGACATTCAGACCCGAGTTCTAGCAAAACCTGAATGTGGTAATAATCATTAATTCCCTATAATTACAAATTAATAATGAATAAATAAATGATACTGTCATTACAACCCTGAAGGTCTACGTGGCGGCCATTGCGACCTACCACGCCCCTCTCGGTGGCCAGTCAGTGACCAGACACCCCCTAGTTTCCTCCGTGGTGCTCTGAGGCTGAGGCCTCCGGCCAGAAAAGCTTATGCTAAGCGGTGGATCAGGATGCTACTCCATAGCCTCGAGTCCTCTGATCTCCCCTCTCCGTTGGGGGTCAAGACTCACTCCTTCGGAAGTTGGCCTTTGGGTGGGATGTCCCCGCCTACTACATTGTCAGGTGCCTACCTGCTTTCTGCGCCACTCCTGGCTCCGTTCTCTCGCTTTAGCTGAGCTCTTCCACACTAGGCAGGGATTTGTAAGTCTGGCGGCGTGGGCATTCTCGTTCCCGTAGCGTTTCAATGCAGCTCGAGTTCCTGAAGGGGAACGTCTCGGGTTACGCATGTAACCATGGTTCCCCGAAGGGAACGAGACGCTGCGTCTCAGTGCCATACTTCCGGCATCCCTGCGAGCGCTTGCTTCATTCCTAGAAGCTGACGCCGGTTCCACCGCACGTGCTTTTAAGCTTCCTGGTCGTTACGTCACCCCGCCCGTGACGTCTCGCCCATGCCATTGGACTGATTACACATGGCGTGTGATTACACATTACAAGGCGTTCCCGTAGCGTTTCATCCAGCGTATCCATTTTCATACTGTACATTATAATGTTGTGATGTCTAAATTCACCTGTGCCATTTAAAATTGATTTTACTTTTTGTGTTTTATTTTGCATTTATTTAATCAAACTAGCACTACATTTAAAAATGGCAATTTACTGTTGATCAGCCAAGAACAAGAAAATAATTAGTCTTAATGGTTTCAGACAGAACTTTAATATTGATGCATCCTTATGTTGTATTCATTTGAAGAGGTTTATTTTGCATAATCATTTTGCATATCACCAGCTGACTGTACATTATCTGTTTTATTACACAACTACTTCTCATATCAATAAATGAATGAATAAATAAAGGACACAAACTAATTTTAACTTAAATTATTTTAGACATGAATCTAACACACTTTAACAGAAAATAGGTCGCTTTGGACAATAAAAAAAGACCACAAAATGCTGTGAATAAACAAATCAGAATCTAGCATTCCAAAGAACAAAGTCATATAACTTCTAGATTTGTACAATTAAGGTTTTAGAGGATTAAATGAATGATGGGAAGTGTTTCAATGCCATCAAATGCATAAATGTGTTTTGTCCAATTTTTGAGGGCCTCTAATCCACTGATTCCAATTGTTCAGTTCAGCCAAAGCAAAAAAAGATTAAATGGCATAAGATTAGCCACTCTGTTTTAGCAGGATTAAAAAGTCCTGTCTAGCTTTAGCTTTATATTTCATTGGTGAACAAAATGAGGCCCACTTTGGTTTTAAATTATCTTACCACTAAGAAAACCCATTTGAACGTTAAACAAGCACTTGTGTGAGAGGTTTACAACCTTTGTGGTATTTTTAATATTGCAATATGTCCTTTAGCACCGACAGGAGGTACAGGAACAGTGGAAACTGTAGTCTGTCAAGCTCACAGTTTAAGCAAGGTCAAATGGCATACAGGTAACACTCTCACCACGCTGGTGTGGGATTACAAATTTAAGAATTGCATCGGACAAATGATTGTCTTAAGCAAGGTGTGGCAAGAGGTTCCTGTCTGTTCCTGTTCTCTTATTGTTAGTAAAATGAACCAGATTACTGAGACGATCACCTTTTGTTTGTAATGGCTCTTGGTGCCTCTGCCCCAGTCTTTGAGTAGTTATGCTGAATGTATTAGGACTGTCAGACTGATTGGATTAGCACCTATGCATTTGAATGACACTGTTATGCTGATGAGATCAGGGCTGGAGAAATTCCGGTAACGGGCTGATTCCTGTATTGCATTTGCATGCTTTGTTTAGATTGTCTCCACCTCCACTGAATGAATCCCGCCCCCTTAAAATGTATATAAACTCTACTGTGCCGAGCTATAGTCAGACTTGGATGACTGCAGCGACGCACAGCGAGTCCTCAATAAAGAGTGACTTCTGTATGAAAGATATCCCAACGTCTCCTGGTTTTCTGCTTCGACGAGGAAAAAGTTTCCTACACTGGTCTCTCTCAGCGGTGCACAAGGTCAGAAAAAGCCTGTGGGATCTGGGGAATTTTTTGTGTGTGACATTGTAAGGTCAGTCTCCATTTGGGTCATAAATCATGGAAAATTATCTTATTGTTAAGGTAAATTATGTCTGAAGTCAAGTTATACTCCAACAGTGGTCAGCAGAATCCAGTTATTAATTAGATATTTAACAGTGTTAGTCAAATGTGATTGTAACTGTAGCCAAAGTCCCTTTCAAAGAAAATCAGTTCAACTGATTTGTAATGCCTCCGGGCAGCAATTTCAGGCATGCAACACCAACTCCACTTGAATGGGGAATATCATAATCTCAAAAAACTGCTTTACCAAACTCACATTTAAATAACGTATTTCAAAATAGCAATAACATCTGACATAAACTGACCCATAAATGCTGTTCTCAAATTGCTCACATTGAGTGAAAAAAGCATGTATTTTGGGTTGGTAAAGCCGATGGGCATGTGCAGTCAGTAAACTGACTCTTTCCATAGGCACCAGAGCTTACTAATTCCGCTATGTTGAGTGTTGCACTTGCCATTCACAGTAATATGATTGAACCACTTTGGTCTACAGTGTTTGCTGTCGCCAAAATAGCAGTGCATATCACTAGCAATACCAAGGTCATGTGTTCATGTCCGAAGGATGACAAAAATCTGATATAAAACTTTTGTTTTTAGATAAATGTTTCTGTCGAATTCAATATGAAATACAAATGTGTTTGAAGCAAGTTTATGAGATTTGAAAAACTATTATACCGCACACATTGTGGTAAATAGAACTATTATACCGCACACAAGTGGTAAATAAGGTGAATGTGAAGTCAGAAAGGCTCGGTACTCACTTGCTGAAGCATCCCAGAACTTCACTGAACCATCTGCATGCCTGCAAGAAGAGCAGAGAATCTTTTATTTTAACTGTCTCATACATTTTCATACACAAACCTACATAAACTCACTGCCACTTTCCCAATACCACATGTACTCAAACAAACCACCGAGGTAAGCTAAGTTGCTATGTCAGATAAAAGCTAGTCAAGAGATGAGAGGAAGTGCTCTTCCCACTGCTGTCAAACCCACTAAAAAAGCTTCTGTCATCCCATGGGCGGTACATCAGAAAATGCTTACTTTTTTGTCATACTTCCCTTTCGCTACCATCTTGTCCTGCTCATTACCCTCTCTTCTGCACTCCTCCTCCCTCTTCTTATACCCTGCCTTCTTCTTTTACTCCATTTAAGTCTTTTTTTGCCATTTCTGCCATTTCAGCAGAACTACGAATGACAAGAGAGAACTGAGCATACACACACATTCACTCGCTCACACACAAGCGCACACTGCTCTTACCCAGTTATTATTATTTCAGGGTAGCTTTGTGTGCCCAAGCCCCAGTTTCCACCACCGATAGGCCATTCCTGTGATGAACAACAGAACCACATAAAAGCACTTAAATCCACGAAAGCAAACCACATAAATCCGACATTTCTCGACATATGAGAATAGAGGAAATTTAGTAGACATTGCCCTAAAGCATGTGAGCATTCCTGGGAAACTTAATAAAACGAAATCGGCCAATTTGTATGTTTTAGTAAGCATACTCTTAATATAATGACTGTGGCTTGCACTGGCAGCCACAAAACATTTCTGCAACGTGGGTGGAACCTTTATTAAACGGCTGGCGAGACTCTATAGGAAAGCATTTCCTCACAAGGCATCAAAGCTGAAGCAGTTTATTCAAAGGTATTCAGAAGTGCTGTGATTCAAAGTGGGCCGTCTGAGTTAACCTGCTCCCTGTGGGAGACAAACCCAGAACTTACACTCCGCACTCCAGTCTTGGCTGAGGGGTCATGATTTCTTTCATACCCATAAATACCCCTGTCTGTGTCTCTGACCCACACAGTCTGAGGACACAATGTGCTGCATGGCGGGGGCCTGAAGTCACGCAGGCATAGGGAAACGGCACGATTCACGAGGGTCTATAATCTAGTCACTCAAAAGTCAAGGTGCATGTGTGTAGGCAGGACATTATAACTTAAAAGACATCATTAACCAATTAGCACCTTTAAATGAGTGTGTGCATGCTGTTGTACCTTTTTGCTGTAGCCCTGTCGTTTCTGGCGAGACCCGACAGAGTAAAGTGCAGGTATGAGGTCCACAGGACAATCGGCTAAGTACTCACAACACGTCACAGGAGACTCATGAATCATCATGGGATAAGGATTTTCAAAGATAGGGTAACTGAAAAACATCAGAGGTCAAAAAAATAAGATTGACAATGTGGTGGAAAAGTGTGATAGCGTCAAACATGTTAGACACAAATATGACGCATATGCTGTGGGTGATAAGTACCCGTTTTGTGCAAGGTCAATAACAACTAAATCCTTTTCAAGGAGGACCACTACAGCATATGGTTCCTGAAAATCTGCAGAGAAATGAAAACAGGATGGGTAAAATCATGAATAAATCGCTACATATTTAAGTACATATATATATATATATATATATATATATATATATATATATGCACATATTTTTACAAATACCATACAATTTGTTTTTTTTAAGAAATTAATACTTTTAATTGGCAAAGGGAAATTAAATTGACCAAAAGTGACAGTAAAGACGTTTCTGTTACCAAAAATTTATATTTAAAATAAATGCTGCTCTTTTGAATTTTCTATTTATCAAAGAATCCTAAAAAAAAAAAAAAGTATCAGTTTCCTCAGAAATATTAAGCTGCAACCGTTACAAGCAACAGTTTTCAACATTGATAATAATAAGATATGTTCCCTTTCAGTCAGTCACGTTCTACGTTACGTCAGTCGTGACTGACGAATTGGGATCTCGCCCGAGAGCGATTGCCATGCCCCGCTCTAGCTCCTCCGGTTCTCGGAGGGCTACTTCGGTTCATGGTCAGGGAGACCTGAGGATCACGGTGAGAGCTTCCCCGTCGAGTAAGTCTCTGCAGGCCTCTCATTCCTCTGGCATGTTGCACCACCTGGTGTTCCCGGACGAGTGTGCTGGGTCCTCGGACAGGGCGGGGTCCAGCATCTTGTGGGGAGCACAGGTGGATGACAGGATGTCGATCGCTGCATCGGAGGGCGAGCTAGGCTCTGGAGATGAGGATTCGGCTGCGCTGTCTCCGTCAGGAAGAGTGGCGTTGCCCGAGTCAGATCCAGAGCTGACCGCTATGCTTTCCCGGGCTGCCGAGAGTGTCAGGCTGCACTGGAGGCCTCCTCCTTCCTGGGGGGCGCAGGCCGGGAGTCGGCAGCCGCCTCCAGTTTCATTCTTCCCGGAAGTGCATGAGGAGGTTACTAAGTCTTGGAAGGCACCTTTTTCTGCCCGAAACAGACTTGGTGCCTCCTCCGTCCTCACCACCCTCGATGGTGGGGCGGCCCAAGTGTATGTGGACATCCCCCCAGTCGAGCACGCTATTGCTATGCAGCTCTGCCCGCAAAGCGCCGCCGCCTGGAGAGGTAGTCCA